TGGTGGGAGTGTAAACTAGTGCAACCTCTGTGGAAAGCAGTGTGGTGATTCCTAAAAACTCTAAATATCAACCTCCCATATGACCCTGCAATTCCCCCACTGGGAATATACCCTAAAGAACTCAAATCACTCTATAAAAAAGATACTTGCACATGTATGTTTATCGCAGCATTGTTTACAATAGCAAGAACCTGCAGCCAACCATGCTGTCCATCAAAAGAAGACTGGATTTTAAAAATGTGGTATATATACACAATGGAATACTACGCAGTCATAAAAAAAGAACAAAATCATAAACTTCGTAACAACCTGGATGGAACTAGAGTTTATAATACTGAGTGATCTCTCACAGAAACATTGGTATTTTTAAATCAATCATTATGGTGGTATTTGCAACATAGAAATTAACAAAGGCTACAAAGCAGAGCTTTAGCCACCCTCTTGGAGAGTAAGGTTGTTAAACACTTAACCAACACACTACTGAGGAGCTTTAAATGAAAGTGCATGCTATTTAAGCTCTAAAAAATCCATTTCAATCTTAAAATTCTTTAACTATGTCAGGACAAGTTATCTTGCATTTTAAAATTAAAGTCACTTCTTTAATTTTAGTAGATAATCTAAATATTTTTGGGCTATACACTGGAATGTTTTAGTTAAAAACATTAACTTTAATTAGATGCTTGACTTGCAAACTGAAAAGGTATTTGTATCTGTGTGGACCACATTTCTGCATTTCATAGTGAAAAGTGTATTATGATTGAAATAATAAAAATATTCATTATTAACACTTCTTTAAATAAGATTCATTTAAAGCAATCTGTGAGTATACCTGTGACCATTCTTTTGTTGGTATTTTGCAGTGAGGCCCACAGTGATTGAAACTGATGTTTATGTAAACAGTATTGGACCAGTGGATCCCATAAATATGGTGAGTAAAGAGCATTAAAAATAGTTTATGGTTTAGAGATTTCAAAAATACACCTCCATTATATATTGGGTATGCGAATAGCTTTTGATAGCTGATTCTGAATGAATTCATATCAACATGAGCAATTTCCATGTGTCAGTTATTGGCAACTGAAGTTAAAATATTCCTGTATCTAAGAACTTGTAGCCTGTTATTCCAATGTACTGTGTAGGAATAGGCAAGGGCATAACAAAAATCATCTGAATGATCAAGAATGGGTCCCTGAAGAAATCTGGAAGGAAAAAACCAGAAAGCCTGAGGGGAAAGTAGAGAAGAAAAGGGACTTACAGGCAGAAAACGCAGCATGCCTAAAGTCACAGAGGAATGAAGCAGCCTGTTGAGATCAGTACTTCCAGCAATTGGATGTCACTGTAATATAGAGTTCAAGGTGAGGAATCGAGGCCGAAGGGGTGTTTAAGGGGCTTATTAAGGACAGTCTTGTAAGCCACCATATAGGAAGCTTATCATTGTATTATGTATTATATGAATTGTATCCCTTTGAATAAGAGAAATGAGTGAAATTTTTTTATCAGGGGAGTCTCAAAGGCAGATTGATATTTTTAATGCATCACTTTAAAAACACTATAAAAGATGGATGTAAGAGTCCAAGTTCAGCGTTAGAGAAACCAGTTCAAAGGTTTTTGCATTAGTCTGGGAAATAGATCTTCCAGGCTTTCCCTAGTGCAGTAACAATTGAACTGGAGAAGACAATACAATAGTACATTTGAGAAATATGAGATCAGAATTTGGTGGCTCATTAGTTGTGTGCAGGCTGACTATAAAGTATAGAGATGAAGGGACTTTGAAGATGGTTGAGTCATTTTTTGAGGTAGGAAATACAGTCTAGGCGTATGTGCTCGGAGTGCTAATGACTGTCCAGCAGTACTTTGCCTTATATGCCTGCTCTTCAGGAAAGACATTAGGGCTAGATATAGCTGTAGATTAGTAAAGGAAAGGAGACCAACAGCATATAAGATAATTTAGTTTAAGACATCAAGAATGTCTGGGATTACCCAAGGGAAGATTCAGATTAAGACGAGCACAGGTCTGAGGACAGATGGTGTAGATGAGATCAAGGTATATGAGATACAGGTGGAAGAAAGAAATGCAGAAGAGAGAAACACTCAGGAAAGTCAGAGAGGTAGGAGAAGAACCAAGAAAAGATGATAAAAATGAAACATCAAAGTTGGCAAAATACAAAATAAAAAAGCAAAACAATGCCATGGAAACTAAGGGAAGGGAACGTTTCAAGTCTTTATGGTGTTTGCTCTGCCAAAAACAAATTCTCATACAACCAGTTGATCTTTGTAAAGAGAAAACATTCCATATACATGTATGATAAGTTTACATTTCTCAACATATGAAAATATGAAATTGCATATAATAGGGGACACTAAAGACGACGAAGAAGCAGGGAATGATAGTTAATTACAAATGTACACGGCAACCCATTAAACTTGGATTCAATTGGAACCACTGGTTTTGGCAATTAGGTGGTGTTGGTTATCTCTGTAAGATGAAATTCTGTGGAATGGTGAAGATGGAAAAGAGGAAACAGCTGGATTATACATCTCTCCTCTATCCCCCAAATTCGTCTCTTATCCAAACTTCTTGCCACAGATTTCTGAACACATGTATGGATGCTTCAGGAATAGTCATGCAATTGGGTATTGGTTCCAGGGTATGGGTGGCAGAACTGTGCTAGAGTATGAGTGGGAATTCATATTTAATTTTATGGACTGCTATTTTGAAAAAACTTAGCTTACAAGAGGATAACAATGCTCGTATGTGGTAGAGAAGGTAGAGGGACAGAATAAGAGAAATAAGGGAAGGAGAGTGAATATGAGAATGTGTCAGAAGAGGGCCATTTAGAATTAAAAATAATAAAGTGTGTTTTTTATCCTTAGAATAAATGGTGTTTTATTACTATTTGAAGGACATAATTAATAACACCAGTATAGCCAACAGGCATTATTAAGAATGCATTCATGATGTTTTGTTTCAGACTTTAATAACTCAATTTTTGTGAGTCAACCTTTGAAGAACCATTTAATGAGATCAATAATGTAAACTATTTCACTGTCTTTGATTTTGCCTTTGATATGTGTCTGCTAGGCATTCCATAACAAAGGACCACAAACTGGGTGGCTTAAATCACAAAGGTCTGTCTCTTACAATTGTAGAGAAAAGAAGTCCAAGATCAGAGTGCCACCTGGTTGGGTTTCTTCTGAGGCATCTCTCCTTGACTTTCAGATGACTGCCTTCTAGCCATGTCCTCTTACATGGTCTTTCCCCTATGTTTCTGCATCCCTGGTGCCTCTTTGTGAGTCCATCTTTTCTTTTGTTATCACAAGTCATAGTGGATTAAGGCCCACCCTAAAGGCCTCATTTTGATTTAATCACCTCTTTAAAAGCCCTGTCTTCAAATGCAGTCATATTCTGAGGTACTGAAGGCTTCAACATATTAATTTAGAGGGTAAATTCATAATTCAGTCCATAAGAATTTAGAGGGTAAAATCATAATTCAGTCCATAAGACTGCCAAAGATAGTTCTCCAACACTTTGTTGATTTTCTTTCTCACTTTATTTATTCACTAGTGCAGCAGTCAAATCATCTATTACATGTCTTATATTCTACCTGGAGAACCCTCATAACACACCCAGTCGCCATGTCTGTTTACTCCTCTGGTATTACAGCTGCACTCAGTGTTTTTTCCTCAATATGATCTTCACATGACTGTCATTAACTTTTACAGTTATCTGTATTGGTTACTGGAGCAACAGCATTCTAGTCGCATCATAACTGACATCTTTGTCACCTTAATGCAAGCAAATATAAACCAGCTATGGCTAAATTGGGTTTGAGAAGAGGGTGGGATGTCCCAATAGACTGATTTAGATGTCAGTCTTAATCTAAGGACTGACAATTAGAGGAAGTCGAGACTGGAGCCAAATCTTTATCAGGAATTAGCTAAACTCCTTCTCGAGATGGGAAAAACAGTCTTAAAGTGAAGAGAAGACACAAAAAAATGTGTATCGGACCTCAGGGACACTTAGAGTATTCAAGGATCTAAAAGATGAAGCTGAGATGGTAAATGTAACAACAAGGTTGGCAAGAAAATGGCAAAGCAATGCCACTGAAACAAGGGAAAGGGAACGCTTCAAGTCTTTATAGCATTAGCTCTGCCTAAAACAAATTCCTATACAATCGGTAGATCTTTATAAAGAGAAAACATTTTATATACATGTGTGATTAGTTTAAAATGTTTAACATTAGTCAAATATGAGATCACATAATGTAATACATTGCTAAAATGTTAATTTTTCTTTTTAGTAGAATATTATGATATTTAGTTTCTAAGTATCCAATACCTAGAGAAAATCAGCATGTTTGGGCATATGGAAAAGTCGACATTCTCCTGAATTGTATATTTTTTGTTTGGGGTTTTTGTTTTTAATTTGCATGAATGTATTAAGTACAAAAAACATGGTCATTAAGATAAACAAAAACAGGATTCAAGACTGTATTAGTATTCTACAACACTTTGACAAGAATGACTACCAACTGGTTTTTATGATGATCTTCCTATATAAAAGATTCATGGAATTAGAGATTTAGTTTTCCCAGTGGGGCAAATTACATACTGGTAACCTTGGACAGTAATTGTTATTTAAAAAAATAATTAAGTAAAATTGCTATTGAAATTAGTGACACTAAAACACATGGAACAAACACAAAAACTCTACAGAACATTTGATAGTAATTATTAAGGAAAAACATTGTCATCCTGGGGATTAATAAGAAACAGTTTATGTAGAGACTATTTTAACTAAATGATGAAGGAAAATTAGAATTCACTTTTCATATAACGAACAAAATTGCCTTCAATGTAAGTGTAATTAAGCAAGCAAAGGGATAATTCCCCTCCTAAGTCCTCTTATAATTTAAGTTATGTGAAACAGAACTAATGCATTTGTTTAACTTTTTAAAAAGTTATCTAAGATTATTTTGCTGTAAAGTGGTTGTTTCTTGGATACATAAGATAGCATTTTTATAGAATATTTGAAACATAATTCTGTAATAGAATATATTTTTCTTCTTTTTTCCAAGGTGAAATTAATGGCTGCAATCTTGAAGTTCCAAACAAAAAATGGGTATCCAATAATTGCATGTGAAGTAAATGAATAAATCAGTCAATGAATGGATTATGTCTAGTTTTCATTTTAAGAATTGAATTGTCAAAATGAATAATGGGTGCACTAATGAAGATTAGGAAAAAATAGAGTAACTTAGAGAGAGATTGCTCAGCGTTATGTATACTCTGATTAAAGTTACCTTAAATATAAGCAGAACAAAGCAATGCAGTCAGCATTAAAGGCAAGAAAAGACTAAGGTTATTAGACAACTTATGTTTTGCCTCTTAGCTTTTTAGATTTGAGGAGGCTATGTGTTTTTACTCTTTTCAGTAAATGTATCACAATAGCATTTAGCCTCTGACTAGGAAGGACAACGTTCAAGCTTTATAACAATTCTTTAAATCCAAGTGACAGAAAGGGTATCTAAGAGGATGCTACAGTATAAAATTAGTAAACATAAATGCAGTTATAGTTGAAAACCTCAGGCATAATTTGACATGAGTTTGCTTGTAGGAATTGGTACGCCCTTATATAATCCAATATCAAGAGATTAATAATATGACAACTTTGTAAGACAATAAATAATTTATAAAAACTGCTTCAGATTAATATCCCAGTCCATATACGCAGAAATTAATTTATATAATTATAATTGCAAAAGTGATATGCCACACAATCCTAGAGTACAATTCAGTCACAGCTCACCATATCACTGCAGACTCAACCTCCTGGGCTCAGGTGCTCCTCCTGTCTCAGCCTCCTGAGTAGCTGGCACTACAGGTGTGTGCCACTATGCCTACCTAATATTTTGATTTTTTTTGTAG